ATCTACTATAATATCGCCGTAATTACCACCAGATTGACTAGATCGACCAGAAGTATTTGAATCCCTTTTGTAGCCATTTGAATGTGATCACAAAGTTAATTAATTGTTGAAAGAAGATTATAATCTAGTATAACTTTATCATCTTTTTCAAACTGCACTTCATTGATCTAATTTAAAAACAAATTTTTGGGCCGTTCCCTATGATTTTGATGTATCATACAGTTTTGCAAAATAGAGAATAGTGTTATTAATTTAAATCGAGTAGTGGTCAGTGCTTTCATAATAGAGAAAAGTGATTTTTTTTGCTGTAATCATTTCAAATCTGCTAGCGTACCCATTTTGAATAATAATTTCCAATGGAAATCTTCCCAAAACCTGATGTCTGGTTGAAAACTTCACCCTTCACCTTTTGAAATTAAAAATATAACCTTTTAGGAAACTATATAATACAAACCTAGCCAATATTTTTATTTAAACGTAATTCAACCGTATACTGAATAATCTGACAACACCGCCGAAGGCTTGACTACGTCAAACAGTGTTTATACTTGTAACCAATTCGATAAAGAGAAAAAATGTTTTTCTAACCACCTTCTGGAATTAAACACAGACTACAAGACTACATCGAATAATAAACTCATATACTTATGGTTGAGACTTACCAATTTTCTCATCTTGCTTATTGTAGTTCCAACTGCTTAAGGAAAATATACTGTTGCAGATTGGGATTGGTTAAGGGGTATTAGGTAAAGCAGTTCAAAGAAACGTCTTTGAACACAATTATAATTCACATTTTCCAATTTGACAAACCACCGGCGCGTACCTACTTTCTAATTTTTCGTTTCACACATAATATTAAGATTTATTATCTTTATACTATGATTCAATCAACGACTTTTTTAATTAACTAAAGTGCTAACATTGAATTATTGCGTTGATCTATCATCCAAACACACTGCAGTGTTGCCGAAACGCAATTCCATTTTTACCAACAGAGGAGTAAAAATTAAACCTCCATATGCTTCCCAATGTAAAATCACTAATTGCAACCAAATTTCGTAAACTGAAATTTAAAATTTAATCGCAAATCACTCTACTTGAGATTCGACAGTCACCACACACTCAATGAGGGTGTAATATTTGCTCATCATTTTTTTTCTCGCCCTTCTTCTTTTTTTCACTCTCTTCTAGAAATTCGCAACCATCAAACTTTCATCTATTTTCTCTCCAGATTCAATTTCCAGGGAATATAATCTCTGAATTGGTCGAATTATTTCAACGCGTTCCCATTTGACTCTTGCTACTCTATGGACCACGTCTCTTCAAGAAATTTTCCTTAAAGGCCAGTCAGTTCGCTTCTTGTTATCTGTTTCAATGGAAACACAATATTACCTACTTTAAGATAACCTGTCCCTTTTTGACCAGTATGGACCAATTCTGCTGGATACTCTTTCCTGAATCTACTAAGCACCCCTAAAAATCGNGAGCGGTTAGACGTGGGTGCTTTGTTCACTCATTCGAATTGACTGCCATGTTAGTCGGTGGTTGAAGCCCCAGGCTGAACGATCGATTGTCACTTGCTATCGTCCAACCTGTGTTAGGAATCACACGTTAAAAGGTAAGACCTCGTTGATCCTTAGCTCGCAAAAGTTTCGACTTCTGAGGCTGTCGTTCGTAGGGTTGCGACAGCTGGTTAACGGGAAAACAGATTTTGAACAGACAGACAGAAACAGATTTGCACCAACCAGAGTACCCGTTTGCGGACGTATCTTCAACTCTCTGGGAATTCTGAAAATACCAAATAGTTTTCAAGATATTTGCAAAAAACCAAACCCAATTTTTTTCAGCTAATTTCTCATAACCCACGCAATTTTTGCAAGCAGCATTATTTCCAATCGAACTATATAGACTGAGATATGGGTCCAGATTATAATTATTAGGCAAATTTCATTCAAAACTCCGAAACTACTACTCGTTACGTGGGCAGAATATACCGTATAAATATTACTGGAGTTTCTTTCCCAACACCAAATCGTTATTTTTAACACCTCGACACGTGTTTCGACCACCAAGTGATCATCTTCAAGAGGAAGATAATACCGCGTATGATTCACAATGTTGTATTTTGGAAACGTATATAAAATGAGTCGAATCGAAAATTAGATAACTGTTTTTTAGCATTTTGTCAATAAAAAAATTCAGTAACAGAAAATATTATCGGACCTTTAGTATCACATCGACATCAGATTATTAGTCATTCAATAATCTAGTATTAGGTGCCTGAATTTTTTCAATTCTGAATTTTGATTGTCAATGAGTTGAAATGATAGTTATCCATTGGAAGTCCAACGTTGGTTTGATTTGCACAAACAAGAGTACCTGTTTTCGGACGTACCTTCAACTTTCTGGAAAAATTATAAATATTAATCCTACAATTCCGAAAGATATGACTTTATTTTGATAAACCTACTCTTCTCGAATCTTATCCTAATTCAGAAAACATCGAATAGTTTTCGAGATTTTTGCAAAAAACTCATGTTTTTCAGTCAATTGCTCATAACCCATGCAATCTTTGCAAACGGCATTGTCCCCAATCGAACCCAATAGACAGAGATATGGTTCCAGATATGTTATAATAACACGAACAATATAAACGATATAATTGAAACAACAGCGATATGCTGAATGAAAGTATTGTACAGTCAATAACAGCCAAAGCCTGCAAAAGGGATGACTAAATATGAAAGTCCGCTTTCACTTTCCAGAACATTAGCTGCACGTGACAGCACGTTCACAACTGTCCTGACCTAGTGCTCCTATCTGTATATAACGATTCACAATGGTCGACGTCAAATCTTTCAGCGACCTCCGATATGGAAGACCATTTTTATGAGGAAAAACATAAGAAGTATCTACAATGTTTTGATGAACTAGCTTCAAGGCCCGCAAGTCATTGTCCAATGCGTGGCCAATTAGAATGGTCCCTTCATGGATGAACTTCATCAAATCCCTCTGTACCTGTCCGATGTTTCGACTATTCTTCAGTGTCATATGTTGTGCTGTAATTCCAGAAAATCGGGTGTTGTAGTCGACTATTTCATGGTCAGGCTTCACATATGAATAGTATACAATACTACCGTCCATACCGACAACGGTGACTTTGGTCAATTCGAGGCCTTTAACTGTGTAGCACATTTCACAATCCACAGCATAAGCATCTATATACGACTATATATTCATCATAGGATTTCGTTTCGTAGAGACATAACCAGCGTCACTTATTCTATCGGAAGTTCCACTCCAAACGTGACATTTACTCTCAGTACAACCTTTAGAACCCTTCTCTTGACCGCAGCAATCATAACTGAGTAGTCCGTTTTCACTGATTAATAGGTGAAAATTACATTTCCATCTACTTACCATAATAAAATCACAAATTTCTTATATTAAATTTGAAAATCTAATCAAAAATCACTTCACTTGAGATTCGACAATTACCACACACTCAGTGAGGAAAGAATCTGGTGCATGCCTTTAAATACAAAATCAACTAATTTATTCAGGTAAGATTTCCGATCAATTCGTTTACCTGTGAGACAGGTAAACGAGGCGCAGAGCATGAGGAGCGCGTGTCCTATGCTCTATCTTTTGGAAGAATTGAGATGACGATTGAAAACTCGCTAACATTTCGGAAACGTATATAAAATGAGTCGAATCGAAAATTAGAAATCTGTTTTGCAGCATTTTACCAAAGAAAAAATTCAGTAACAGAATAGATTATCGGATCTTTAGTGTGCTACCAGTTTACCAGATGGTTGGCTATAAATTTTCTAAAGCTCTATTATCACAGAAATTACCGACCAATATAAAAAATATTCATTTAAAACCCCGAAACTTCGTACTGGTTACGTGAGCAGGATATACCGTATGGCACCAGCCCAATGAAATAATCTTGCGAGAGAAATTTCTGTTATTATTATTATTACATGATAATTTTCTCTGAAACCAATTTTGTTCGCCTTGAATAGCAGAAATGAGTCAAACAGATGAAAAAGGACAGTTGAGAACTACTTAGCAAACTGATGGGAAAGTTTCTTGAAGGTTGGAGACGAGGCCGGTTCTTATAAACCCTCCACTAAATAATGAATTTTATCTTAATCTATCAAAGAGGCATCACTGTGAATCATATTTCTTAAAGCGCGAATGAAACGTTTCTCATTGACGTATTCGTTCCGAAAATTCCTGTATTTCAATTTTCGGCAGCAGAGGTAGTCTATTATTATCTACTATAATATCACCGTTATTACCACCAGATTGACTAGATCGACCAGAAGTATTTGAATCCGTTTTGTAGCCATTTGAATGTGACAACAAAGTTAATTAATTGTTGAAAGAAGCTTATAGCCTGGTATCACTTCATCATCTATTTCAAACTGCACTTCATTGATCTGGTTTAAAAACAAATTCAAAGCTTCTTTACTATTATAGTAAGTCAAATATGATATTTTGAAAGCTTCAACTTTTTGGCCGTTCCCAATGATTTTGATATATCATATGTATCATACAGTTCCTGCAAAATAGAGAATAGTGTTATCAATTGCCATACAGTAGTGGTCAGTGCCTTCATAATAGAGAAAAGGGGTTTTTTTCGCTGTAAACATTTCAAATCTCCTAGCGTACCCATTTTGAATAATCATTTCCAATGGAAATCTTCCCAGAACCTGATGCATGGTTGAAAACTTCACCCTTCACCTTTTGAAATTACAAATATAACCTTTTAGGAAACTAGAAAATACAAACCTAGCCAATATCATTATTTAAACGTAATTCAACCGTATACTGAATAATCTGACAACACCGCCGAAGGCTTGACTAAGTGAAACAGTTTTTATACTTGTAACCAATTCGATACAGAGAAAAAATGTTTTTCTAACCACCTTCTGGAATTAAACACAGACTACATCGAATAATAAACTCATATACTCATGGTTGAGACTTACCAATTTTCTCATCTTGCCTATTGTAGTTCCAACTGCTTAAGGAAAAAATGCTGTTACAAATTGGGATAGGTTAAGGGGTATTAAGTAAAGCAGTTCAAAGAAACGTCTTGAACACAATGATAATTTACATTTTCCAATTTGACAAACCACCGGCGCGTACCTACTTTCGTTTCACACTCCGTTCAGTCATAGTATTAAGATTTATTATCTTTATACTGTGATTCAATCAACGACTTTTTGAAATAACTAAAGTACTAACATTGAATTATTGCGTTGATCTATCATCCAAACACACAGCAGTGTTGCCGAAACGCAATTTCATTTTTACCAACAGAGGGGTAAAAATTAAACCTCCATATACTTACAATGTAAAATCACTAATTGCAACCAAATTTCGTAAACTAAAATTTAGAATTCAATTATGTTTTTCAGTCAATTGTTCATAACCCATGCAATCTTTGCAAACGGCATTGTCCCCAATCAAACTATATAGACTGAGATATGGTTCCAGTGTATATATGTTATAATATCAAGAACAATATAAACGATATAATTAAAACAACAGCGATATGATATTCAATAGTTATTTATTAACAAAAATATTGTACAGTCAATAACAGCCAAAGCCTGCAAAAGGGATGACTAAATATGAAAGTCCGCTTTCACTTTCCAGAACATTAGCTGCATACAAATGACAGCACGTTCACAACTGTCCTGACCTAGTGCTCCTATCTGTATATTACGATTCACAATGGTCGATGTCAAATCTTTCAGCGACCTCCGATATGGAAGACCATTTTTATGAGGAAATACATGAGAAGTATCTACAATGTTTTGATGAACTAGCTTCAAAGCCCGCAAGTCATTGTCCAATGCGTGGCCAATTAGAATGGTCCTTTCATGGATGAACTTCATCAAATCCCTCTGTACCTGTCCGATGTTTCGAGTATTCTTCAGTGTAATATGTTGTGCTGTAATTCCAGAAAATCGGGTGTTGTAGTCGACTATTTCATGGTCAGGCTTCACATATGAATCGTATACAATACTACCGTCCATACCGACAACGGTTACTTTTGTCAATTCGAGGCCGTTAACTGTGTAGCACATTTCACAATCAACAACACAAGCATCTTTATACGAGTATATACTCATCATAGGATTTCGCTTCGTAGAGACATAACCAGCGTCACTTATTCTATCGGAAGGTCCACTCCAAACGTGACATCCACTCTCAGTACAACCTTTAGAGCCCTTTTTTGACCGCAGCATTCATAACTGAGTAGTCCGTTTTCACAGATTTTTTTTAGCTTCCCCCAATGATGGCAACATTTTTCTATAGTAATATAGTAATCTGCAGCCACGCGGAATATGTTTTTGCATCTAGAGCACGTTTTGATATAAACCTTGTCACCAAGAGGATAACTCTGTTCTTCCCAACTCGAAGAAACGTTCCCTGGCAGATTTGATTCAGATGGATAACCGAAAGTTCCTAGAAAATCTCGAGGAACCAAATAGTTAGGTAGTAATGCCATAAATGTATCCGTAGGAACGTAAAATGCAATTGAATGGGCAAGAGGTCCAACTTTCTGTTTTCTTGACATTTCTACCAAATATGATGATGGCCTTTGGTGTGTACGCAATGAAGGACTAGTCGGTTTATGGTAGTTGCTGTTGAATATCTGGAAATGTGAAACAAGAACATGTGATTCTGCAGGGTACGGGTAGTTGTACGTTAATTGGTTTGCATCAGCGACAAATGGTCCCATCGGCCTTGGAATATAAACCTGTCTGAAGATTTCCTTTCCGTTAAGAGAGTCCTTCAATTCGATCTGTTTAAACATTGTTCTCTGAAAAACAGTAAAATGAATAATCAATATTGAACATATGTCAATGGTAAGAATTAACTTAATAATATTCTGGACAATTTCCAATACACCTCAAAGATAGTATTAACAGATGTGAATGAAATAATTCAATTTCCCTGAATTCGCACAATTATTTTACGGGTAGTAACAGATAGGTGAAAATTACACTTCCATCTACTTACCACTATAAAATCACAAATTTCTTATATTAAATTTGAAAATCTAATCAAAAATCACTCCACTTGAGATTCGACAATTACCACACACTCAATGAGGAATGAATCTGGTGCATGCCTTTAAATACCAAATCAACTAATTTATTCAGGTAAGATTCCCGATCAATATGAAAGTAGCAGTTTCAGGTACCCAAGGGCCCCAGCATAGCCTAAGACGGCCCTGACCATAGGCATATTACTCATTCAATTATTTCATAATATGTGGATTGCCAATATTGGGCCGTACCTTTGGCCAGCACGTTTCCCGATCTGTTTCCTATGGACTATCATATATGGATATACAGTGCTATTCAAATTTGTTTCTGTACATGGTAATCCCGTAAACGATAAGAAATAGAGTGTCGGTTAAAGTATGGCAAAGTTGCGTAGTTTAGAGACCTATTCAATGATGTAAAGAAATCGAATATAGCTCTTTTGGTTCTGAAGATATACAGGAAAAACCAAAAAATCCCAAATTATTTATTTGTCTATATATTCTTTATTCGCAGACATATTAAAAATCTGTCTATATTTTGAATCTTTTATACAGGGTGTCGTCTGACTTGGGCCACCCCCCAGCTTTTTGGCGTTCTGCTTCTCCATCTGTTCACAACTTCAAAATGAAAGCTTACAGCCCTAAGACCTATTCTCAATGAAATTGTATCCGTTTATCAGTTGAGTATTACTGCTACAATTTCCCATCAAGGTTATGGAATAGGCAAAATAATTTTTGTGTGAATCAAAGTGTATATGTTCGAAGTTGTATTGAATATGCTTCTTCTTCCAGTTTGTATCTGAAAGAATATTCTGTGCATGATCTACATATCGTTTTAAGCGTTTATTTTCAAGTTGTTAAAAAATAGAAAAGCAGAACGCCAAAAAGCTTTTTTCCCAAAAATTATTTTCATTCAAAGTTCTATTCCAAATAATTACTGGATGTGACCAGTTTTAATATTCCTTTTCATATATTTCATTACTTTCTTCAAACGTTTTCTATTATTACTGAATTTCAATGTAATGAGCTCATAAAACCACATACTTTTATAGGGAGCCCATACTGAGATTTCTAGACGATATTGATACTTTTAGTTGGTACAACATATAAAATGAATTCATCCACAAATCTGATAATAATCTCAATATTTGAATATTTTGGTGTAACCAATAAAAATGTGTAGAATACAAAAATTTTAATTGAGAAGCATCGACAGTGTGTCACGCTTTTCATTCATATCTTAGTTACTGAAACTGCAACCAGAGCATGAAATAATTTATTGGAGTGTTCTTTTGAAAAAAAAAGAGTTGTTTTTTTTGTGAAAAATATTGTGATACTATTAAAAATACTCCAGGAATATTTCATAATGGTTAAGGACCAGCCTCTTATTCTGAAACACCCTGTATATATTATAGCATTATTGATAAAACTACTCAGCACATACCATGTTACATAATATTAGTACTCTCGGTAAATATGGTTACCTGTGAGACCATGAATCAAGACAATAATAAAAATATTTGCACTGCAACTTTCTCATATTCGCTATCAAAGAAATGAAAATCTTTTATTATCCTCCTGTTGAGTAAATCCTTCATATTGATTTTAGTAGTGTCCATGAAGTGAATAAATTATAGTATTTTCTAAAGAAATAAAAGAGTAGTAAATTAATATCCGTTTCAATTATGATCTGAATATTGAAACTTGAAATCAATTGATTACCTACCTGTAATAATTTGCTACCATAAGTATTAAGCATAGCATCACCAAGTTGGTATTATGAGGGAGTGACTAAAACTCGCGTGTNTAGTTTATATTTTTTATTGTACCAGCAAAAATACACCAAAGTGTTCTTTTAATTTTGATTGAAACATGCTTGATTTTATTGAAAATTACATTTGATATATCCACTAATTCCCACCAAAACCACATTTATTCGATTTTTGGTGGTTTTGGTAGGAATCAGATTTTGAACATTTCAAGGTTATTTTCAATATAATAACAATTTGTTAAACCCACCTTCAGCATCATTTATTGAATATTATATCAAATAATAATTTCCTGAATAAAACTAACTTCTGAACAAATTATTTTTATTTTAAAAAAATAAATGGAGGCGGTTTCTATCTATATAACTGAAACACTGGTAATCAGAATCAGAGATTTAGGAATCCTGATTTTTGTGTATATGTTACTATTTTAATGTGTCCATATGAAGGGTCTATTTTCGAAAGATCGCACTACTGTCAACATAATATACTCAATTAAGAGAAAAAAATAAGAAAGTTAGATATTTGCTAATACAGGAATAGAAAAATTATATGTAATAACCAAAGTGAAATCATCTTAGTTTCACTCCAAATGATACATAATTAGCTTATTCCGTTTAGTAATCAAACAAACCTCTTAAGACCTAGTCAATCCTTCTTCTGTTTTTTTTAGTCATTGCTTTGGTGCACTAGTTAGTTCACACAAGATTCAAGGATTGACTAGGTCGTTAATCCTTCTTCTGTTTTTTTAGTCATTGCTTCGGTGCACTAGTTAGTTCACACAAGATCCACCTTTTTAGGGTTGTCTTTTCTATGGAAATGACAGCTGGTTGACAGAGAAACCTATTTCAACCAGAAAAAAATATTTGTATGTTTTGTAAAACAGGAGTGGTTATTGGTACTGGTTGACATATTATTCCGACAGAATGATCAAAACTCACACACTTTTTATAGAAGGCTTAGGTACTAAATATGGCGGCATGAACAACATATACTCTCATTAAAACAATGTGAAATACCTTAAAAAGTTTTTCGAGGATGGGGTTGATTCAAAATTACCTATCGTGTAAATAGGTATATTTTCCTATTACTTGAATAATTAACAAACAGCACCATGAATTATTACCTTCTGATCTTTAATCCGACAACACCGCTTGTGGTACATAATTCTCTTCTTTTACATGCTTCATTAGTGCCTAGTATAAGTTCATTGTACGTTTGTGATACTTAAGTTTTATACAACTGAATCAATTTCTATTATGAATAAATTTATNACGAAACCAGTTAGTTTTTTTGAAAACGGACTTGTATCCGATATAAATTATTATAAACAACTTGGCGACAATCGTGGCTACATAGTAACATCTATTTCGAAAATTGATTTTTCAATAAAAGAGATATTAGTAGAAGACTATTTAACTCTTAACGGAAGAAAATGGCTAAGTAGTTTCATAGTGGATCATTGTTTGCATATTTTTAATTCGGAACAGAGATACCAGATAATTTCAGTAGCCAAATCGTCAATAATTTTTGGTGAAGAAGTACTGACAAAAAAATTTGTAGACTCTGTAAATTTTCATAAAAATACAGTTATATTTCCAGTTGCGAATCACCAACACTTTATTTTATTGAAAGTATCTTTTTCCGAAAAATTAATAACTGTCATAGATCCGTTGGGAAAGGAAATATTACTTGGAGACGAATTGTTAGAACGATTTAAATATTTTCTTAGATTAAAACAACTAGAAAGTCAAAATTGGACTTATAATACATTGGTACATGTGATACAAAAGGACAGCTTCAATTGTGGTGTATATGTCATATATTTTTTCATGAAAATTGCGAAGCAAAAAAGTTTATTAGAATATTTTGATGCTTCAGTATTCCGCAATGATCTGAAACTGCTTCTACTGAAAAACAGTGAACACATGCACAATATCTGTCTTTTCTGTGGACAAATCGTTAGCGACATACAGTTTTCATTCAAGTGTAAAACTTGTCTGAGATATATACATAAAAAATGCCTTTAAACAATTTTTTATATAGATTATGGATTGAAAATTACAGAAAAAACAATAAATGGAATGTGTGAACTGTGTAGATTATATTGAATCAAACTTTTTGAAAATGACAACCCTACATCTTTTGCATTCAATAACATGTTTTTATTTTTAGTTGGTTTTTTTCTAACTCTGAATTTTATTTTTCTCAAGTCTCTATGCAACCCCCTTCGAAGCCCAGAATAATGTTTTGCTTCTCACAGTATAATACCATTATTGAATTCAATTATTGTAATGCATATAAAGTTATGGTTAGAAGATTTTTCCTTCTGGGATTTTCAATTAATCATTGAATTTATATATCCCCTTGACCACCCTGAACGACCGATCTCATTTTGTGATTTTGACAGAATTATTGTGACTTCTATGAGTTATGATTCATTTTTGTATTCATAACCCCATTTGACCCCTTTCGACTGGCAGTCTCACATTGTGATTCTCAAAGATCATTATTATGATCGAATCCTATTTTTTCAACATGAAATTATTTTGACAGGATTTTTCCTTGTATGAGTTTCAATTTATTTTTGTATTCATAACCATATCTTAACCCTTTTGACGGTCCGTCTCATGTTGTGATTTTCACAGATTGTTTTTATGATCGAATTCGATTTTTCTAGCATGGAACTTTTGTGACAGGATTTTTCCTTCTATGAGTTCCGATTTATTTTTGTATCCATGTTATTATTTTCACAGATTGTTATTACGATAGAATTCGATTTTTCCAGCATGAATTCGTTGTGACAGGATTTTTTCTTCTATAAGTTTCAATTTATTTTTCATTCATAACCCCATTCGACGGGCGGTCTCATGTTGTGAACTTCAAAGATTTTTATTATGATCAAATTCGATTTTTCCAGCATGAAATTTTTGTGACAGGATTTTCCCTTCTATCAGTTTCGATTTATTTTTGTATTCATAACCCCATTTGACCCCTTTCGACGGGCGGTTTCATGTTATGATTCCCACAGATTGTCATTATAATCGAATTCGATTTTTCCAGCATGAAATGTTTGAGGATTTTTTATTTTATGAGTTTCGATTTATTTTTTTATTCCTCCAGCATGAAATTGTTGTGACAGGATTTTTGCTTCTATGAGTTCCGATTTATTTTTTTTATTCATAACCCATTTGACCCACTTCGTTTTATGTTTTGTCGAGATCATGTCCTGACCTGGTGAACAATTGTTTTTGAGCGTTGATATGATATTGATGATCTCATTCCTTGTCGTAGGTTCCAGTACAATTGTAGAGTTTACTGTTGGATCATTTGAAAGCTTTTGGGGTTGTTCGAACTAGGATTTATTTACAGCATTTTCATTCCCATTCCAACAAAATATTTATTGAACATATTGAATTTTTGTTCATTATCGGGGATTACAGCTTTTTCGGTATTGGTTATTAGTATGCTGGTTAAAGAATATTTACTAGTATGTCGGTTTAGTCTCATTGATTATTTGTCAAGTTTTTCTGCTACCACCTTTTACGGATTGAAATTTATTTTTGTAATATTCATTTTTCCTTTTCATCAGTAAGTTATTGAGTTCATTTCTATATTATTTGTACTCTCTGGCATGTACTGATGAACGACTATGCAATCTTTTTTTTTTGAGCATGTCCCTATGTCTCATGGATGTTATTGAAGCTTTTGTAATACAAGATTTCATTTTATATTGCTTCTGCTTGACATTTATAGTATAAGATGACACTTCATTGAGATGAAAAAGATGAGAAATTGATTTTCTTCATTGAATTAATTTTATTTGATAGCTCTTCCTTTTCTTTTATTCTGTGTGATTGCAATGTAAGTTGGGTAATGATCTGTAATATGTGAATGGAAGATAGTCGGATGGAAGATTGTATTTTTTGAGAAGCATTGCATTATTCATTCATTTATCTAGTAGGTGCCTGAATTTTTTTCAGTTCTGAAATTTAATTTTTAATGGGTTGAAAATAATAGTTATTCATTGGAAGTCTAACGTTAGCGCAATGTGCCCAAACCAGTGTACTCGTTATGGGACTGTAGTACATTGGTCCTAGAGTTCTAAGAGGAGGTTATTCCGAGAAAACATCTTCAACACTGTACTTCCAAATTTCAAGGATGTTTTTCTTATATCAAATTTTTTCAATTCAGAATTTCGATTTTCAACTACATGTAGAATATAAAAATTATAAAAACTATCTCAACAATTTAATAAAAAGAATCACTATATGAATAAGATTCACGACGCCCAACGGGATTATGGAAAGCAAATTGAATTTTTATTTTCTATTTTTCCAACGGTAACTATTATGACACTTTTCAAAAATAGCCACAATTGTTTGTAACATTTATTGCACTTGCAATGTTTCTGTTCATGTAATAACAAATTGTTAATTAAATAATGCATAAATAGCTGGAAAGTCCCGATAAATATTTTTTGATATAAGATTATTATTCAGTCATTTATCTAGTAGGTGCTTGAATTTTTTTCAGTTCTGAATTTTGATTTACAATAAGTTGAAAATAATAATTATACATTGGAAGTCCAACGTTGGCGCGATTTGCACAAACCGGTGTACTCGTTATCGGACTGTAGGACATCGGTCCTAGAGTTCTAAGAGGAGTTTATTCCGTGAAAACTCCTCTTCTTGTCCTTTTTCCGAATTATGAAAATACCGAATAGTCTTTGAGATATGTGCAAAAAACCAAACCCTTTGTTTTTCAGTCAATTGCTCATAACTCTCGCAATCTTTGTTATTTTCAGTCGAGATATAGTCCCAGATTATATTTGTTATAATATCACAAATAATATAAACAAAATAATCAAAACAATAACAATTACTGAATGAAATTATTCAATATTTTTTTATTATCAGAAATATTGTTCCTAACCCAACCCAATACTCCTACGCAAAAAAATATCAAATTGAAATTATTCTTAAGTCCTAATGTAAACCAATGGCCATTCTTATTTCTGCAAACTTTGGTCCTGGTGAAGGTTTGGTGCAGGCATCAGCTTGTTCACCTGTCGGAATATATTATAGTATGATTGTATTTTGCTCAATCTGTTCTCTNCGCTTTCACTTTCCAGAACATTAGCTGCAAGCAAGCGACAGCATCCTCATAACTGTCGTGACCTATTGCTCCTATCTGTATATTACGATTCAAAATGGTCGATACCAAATCCTTCAGCGACCTTCGATATGGAAGACCATTTTTGTGAGGAAATACATGAGCAGTGTCAACAATGTTTTGATGAACTAGCTTCAAGGCCCGCAAGTCATTGTCCAATGCGTGGCCAATTAGAATCGTCCCTTCGTGGATGAACTTCATCAAATCCCTCTGTACCTGTCTGATGTTTTGAGTATTCTTCATTGCCATATGTTGTGCCGTAATTCCAGAAAATCGGGTATTGTAGTCGACTATTTCATGGTCAGGTTTCACATATGAATCGTATACAACACTTCCGTCCATACCGACAACGGTAACTTTTGTCCATTCGACGCCTTTAACTGTGTAGCACATTTCACAATCAACAGCATAAGCATCTATATACGAGTATATACTCATCATAGGATTTCGCATCGTAGAGACATAACCAGCGTCACTTATTCCATTAGAAGGTCCACTCCAAACGTGACATCCACTCTCAGTACAACCTTCAGAGCCCTTTTCTTGACCGCAGCATTCATAACTGAGTAGTCCGTTTTCACTGATTTTTTTGAGCTTCCCCCAATGATGGCAATATTTTTCTACTGTACTACTAAATTATTCAGCACTTATTTATTAACAAAAGGGTGAATAAAGGGATGACTAAATGCGAAAGTCCGCTTTCACTTTCCAGAACATTAGCTGCATGCAAGCGACAGCATCCTCATAACTGTCGTGACCTACTGCTCCTGTCTGTATATTACGATTCAAAATGGTCGATACCAAATCCTTCAGCGACCTTCGATATGGAAGACCATTTTTGTGAGGAAATACATGAGCAGTGTCAACAATGTTTTGATGAACTAGCTTCAAGGCCCGCAAGTCATTGTCCAATGCATGGCCAATTAGAATCGTCCCTTCGTGGATGAACTTCATCAAATCCCTCTGTACCTGTCTGATGTTTCGAGTATTCTTCATTGCCATATGTTGTGCCGTAATTCCAGAAAATCTAGTGTTATAGTCGACGATTTCATGGTCAGGTTTCACATATGAATCGTATACAATACTACCGTCTATACCGACAACGGTGACTTTGGTCAATTCGAGGCCTTTAACTGTGTAGCACATTTCACAATCAACAGCATAAGCATCTTTATACGAGTATATATTCGTCATAGAATTTCGTTTCGTAGAAACATAACCAGCGCCACTTATTCCATTGGAAGGTCCACTCCAAACGTGAAACCCACTCACAGAACACCCTTTAGAGCCATTTTCTTTACTGCAGCATTCATAACTGAGTAGTCCGTTTTCATTGATTTTCTTTAGCTTCCCCCAATGATGGCAACATTTTTCTCGTGTAATGTAATAATCTGCAGCTACGTGGAATATTTTTTTGCATCTACAGCATGTTTTGACATAAACCCTCTCTCCAGAAGGGTGACTTTGTTCTTCCCAACTTGTAGCAACGTTCCCTAAGAGAATTGATTCAAATGGATAACCTAAACTTCTTAGACAATCTTGAGGAACCAAATATTTGGGTAGTAATGCCATAAATCTCTCCGCAGGAACGTAAAAGGCAAATGAATGGGCAAGAGGTCCAAATTTCTGTTTCCTTGAGCATTCTACCAAATATGATGATGGTCTTTGGTGTGACCGCAGTGAAGGACTAGTCGGTTTCACAGAGTACTGTTTATGGTAGCTGCTATTGAATGTATTCGGGTAGTTGTAAGTTAATTGTTTTCCATTAGCGACAAATGGTCCCATCGACCTTGGAATATTAACCTCTTTGAAGATTTTCTTTCCACTAAGAGAGTCTTTCAATTCGATCCGTTTAAACATTGTTCTCTGAAAAATTATAAAAACGAGTATTAATATTGAACATATATCAGTGGTAAGAATATTTTTAATAATATTCTGGACAATTGATTTCCAATACACACCAAGTCAAGTCAACAGAGGTGAATAAAATAATTCAATTTCCCCGAATTCCCCCAATTATTTTACGGGTAGTAACAGATAGGTGAAAATCAAACTTCCATCTACTTACCACTGTAAAATCACTGATTGCAGCCAAATTTCTTAAATTGAATTTGAAAATCTAATCGAAAATCACTCCACTTGAGACAATCGACAATCACCACACACACAATGGCGAATGATTCTGGTGCATGCTTTTAAATACCAAATCAACTATTTATTCAGGTAAGATGCATGATCAATTCGTTTACCTGGGAGACAGGTAAACGAGGCGGAGAGTATGAGGAGCGCGTGTCCTATGCTCTACCTTTTCAAAGAAATGAGATGACGATTGGAAACTCGCGAGTATTTCGGAAACGAATATAAAATGAGTAGAATCGAAAATTAGAAATCTGTTTTGGAGCATTTTACCAAAGACAAAATTCAGTAACAGAAGAGATTATCGGATCTTCAGTTGCCACCAGTTTGTCTTTCGGGATACAAGTTTGAATACATTTCCGATGTCCTAACACTGTTTCTTTCATATTTGTAATAAATTTGTATCATATCTCTTCTTTCCTCATTCGTTAAAGTCAATAACAAAATGTCATTGAGTGTAACAAATTGAAAGTTAAATTTAGAAACATCAAAGTCAAAGCCTATTATATGTTAAGAATTTATTTTTTTCAATATCTCCAATTTTTCGGAAAAGAATTCAAATCAGAAAAAATCCATTGCGGCGCCCATAAGAAAAATAAAGTTGATGATGGTGGCCGGAAGACGAAACGTCGGATGGCAAAGCCAGCAAAAAAAATAACCATTTTCCGATATTTCTGTTTTTTCCGGATATCTCCGGATATACTCGGAATTTCAGAACTTTCTCAACGGCATATTGTTAAACAGGTAAATGCCCAACTTTGCCTCAATTTAATCATCTTCGTATCTCTCATAGTTTTCGAGATCTCAATGGTGAGAATCGAATTTGAAACACCCTGTATCTAAAATATGAATACAAATCTAGATAGATGTATGGAGAATCCCGCGGATTTCAAAAAAAGTCCACACAGAGCTCAACAGCTTTACCTAAATGTGGCCCAATTTGTCAAATTTTGCTCAATCTATTATTACAATATGCTTATGAAGGAAAGAAAAGTAAGAAATTTGATATTCCTGTCACGGAGGTAGATGGAGCAGGTGAAAAGAAAGATGAAAATATATTCATGACATTTTTCATTTGAGAAATTAAAAAAAATTATAGAAACGGAGAGACGGTAACCAGTTGGATTGGAATGCACTGTGGTTCGTCAGTAAATAATGAAGAAAAGAGAATTGAAACTTTCTATGTTTTTACCACTTTTATTTGTAACTAACGTTACTACAGTTTTGTCCTATAAGGACATTTTCAAACTTATACATTAAAATAACTGGTTTATTACATTAGCCCTTATGTACCACCCCTGTAAGTAATAATAGAGGTACTTGGCTTCATTGAGTACCTGAATTTACAATGCGGATGTGCTAATTTGAAAATGGGTGACTAAATTGAATCGATTTGATCATTTTCCAGGTGGCACCCGCAATTTTTATGCTTCTGAATTTCCAAGGATTCTAAATAATTGAGTTTGTAACCCTTCTATGCATAGTGCAAAATTTCCGTATCGTTTAGATTCGGGAACTTGCGGTTGCATGCCAAGGAATGATTTNTGGGTTACTTCAATATTACACAAATGCAAAATTATCATTTGTACAATTTTCTCAGGTGCCCAACATGGTTTTCATAGACTGTTTTTTTTTGAGCAGTTTATATGAATAGTTGTTATGTTGAGCAGTGTATACACGCTTTGGTTGAGATTGTAGTAGGGAGAAATGTCATTAGTGTCAAATACGTCATCATTATAAAAAATGAAACTCCTGGACACCGACATCAAAGGGACCGACGCTGAGTGAAACTACTGTATACAGAAATACTGTGATAGAGGTACTTGGCTTCATTGAGTACCTGAATTTACAATGCGGATGTGCTAATTTGAAAACGGATGACTAAATTAAATCAATTTGATCATTTTCCAGGTGGCGCCCGCAATATTTATGCTTGTGAATTTCCCAGGATTCTAAATAATTGAGTTTGTAACCCTTCCTTGCTTAATGCAAAATTTCCGTATCGTTTAGATTCGGGAACTTGTGGTTGCATGCCAAGGAATGATTTGAAAACGTCGAATAATTTTTTCCTAGTCTGAAGGACCTTTCATGTTCAGCATACCGTTTTTGAAAATTTCGACCACACTATCCCACATAAACTCTATTACACTCCGGACACTTGAGCTTATAAACTCCAGATTTTTCCAACTTGTCCACCTTATCTTTGGCATTGAAAAGGAAATCAGATAACCTGGCATGTGGTGTGAATGCCACTTCCACATTGATTTTTCTGAAAAAACCCGCAATTATCTCTGTTCTTTTTCCAAAAAATGTTAGAGTGAATTTACGGCTTTGTTTTCTAACTTCTGCGTTGAAACCATTATTACGACCTATCTCTGTAATTATATCAATTTCCCTAGCTAGATTGTTAGAAGACAAAGGCAGTGAGAATGCTGTGTGCAACATTGTAGGCTGCTAATTTATGACTGTCTGGATGGAAAGAAACGCTTGGGATGGTAATGTTTGTATAGCTAAGTTTTCTGAAAACATTGAACTCAAATTTATTCTGATTGTGTGTAATGGACAGGTCTATGAAATTTATCTGTTTCTGTTTCGAGTGTAAACTGAATGTTGCTATTGAGATTATTCATGAATGTCATAAATTGGTGAATAAACAGGCGAGAATATCGTCTACATATCTGTACCAAAAATTAATATGTTTTTTACCCAGGTCGGAATTTACTATAGTGGTCTCTAAGATGTTCATAAATATGTCTGCTAAAAGTGAACTAAGGGTGAACTAAAGGAACTAATTGGTGAACCTGAATTCTGTTTATAAAATTTGTTGTTGAACTGTAGGTAGCTCTGATTTAGGCACACATCGAAAGCTGTTGAAACTTTAAAGGAAGTAGTATGGTCTACTTTGGCTTGATCTAATATGTCTAAAGGTACGTATTCATTTACAACAAAACAGTCCAAACGAACAAAGCGCGCAGGGCGCGCAGAACAAATTCCCCTAGCGAGTACGTCGCGCCGAACGCGCCAAACATTTGTGGGTATATGCAATTTGCACAAAATTATTCGTTCGCCGGTTTTCAGTTAGTAAGGGAGTGTGGAGGATCACGAGCATTTGTGGTTTTTGCGTGAGTTTTTGCTGGTTATATTATTTTATTAATTAATCTTTAATAACAGTCAATAATATTTTAAATTAATAGTGACGTATAGATTATTTTTTTGTTATAATGTAATTTTTACCCACTGTATGTAAATATTTTCTTTTTTTTGTAGCAAGAGAAGAAATATACATATCAAAATGGTATGCTTTCCAACGTATGGGTTTTTGTTAGATAAGGATAAACCAAGAGAAACAATAGATTCAGTTGAGGTATGTAAATCTAATCACAAGTCATGTTTGAAAATAAAATACTTCAATTTCAAAATTAATTCTTTAACATATATTGAGCAAAGCTATTACGGAGTTCTTTAGCTGTAGATGCCGATTTTCTTGGAATATTTGTAAGAGGCAATAGTGATGTTTCTGAAGGTTTTTTCTGCCTCCAACTGCCGGGGATAAAATTGCCTTGATCGTCTTCTTGGTCAAAACTTCCCGGAGGAGTGTAAATATTATTGGATTGGCGGCTTTTCCTTGGATAATTATGGAAACAGCAAGCCGCCATTACTACTTTTTGTGTTTTTTCAGGGCTAAGCAATATTGGTTTTCTTAGGACCCTAAATATTGCTGATAAAATTCCAAAAACGTTTTCCACTATCCTTCTTGCGCGGCTTAGTCGATAGTTAAATGTTCTTTCAGGAGTTCTTTTTTCATGTATTCCAGAAAAGGGCTTCATAATATAATTCGTTAAAGCAAGTGCCTCATCTGTTAGGAAAACGGCATTGGTTTATTCGAATTGGACAACGGAGAATATTCTGGCAAACCTAGATCATTATTTTCTAATTTTCGGTAAATATTTTTGTATACTCCTCCATCTGATATCCTTCCTTGGCATCAAATGTCAACAAATATAAAATTGTAGTCGGCATCAACAAGGGCAAGTAAAACTATACTGAAATTTGATTTATAATTATAAAATTCACTTCCACTGTTAAAAGGGGCCTGTATTGTAACATGCTTGCCATCCATTGACCCGATACAATGAGGAAATTGCCACTTTTCTTCATACTGTCTACTAATCTGTAACCTTTCTTCGGAATTGCTAGGCATCTAAAAATAATTTTTAACGTAAAATCACAATTTTTATTTAGGTAATGTTTGGTCTTTCAACTTCTTTTGACAAGTTCTACAAGCCATTAAAATAAATGACTCAACTTTGAAAACATCATGTATCGACTAAAGTATAAATCAGACGAATCGTCTTAACAATATCTTGTATTTTAGGAAAATGATAATGCACCACTTTCTGAAAGTGATAAAGGAGATGTAGCCACAGAAGCCACCAACTCACAAGAAACCGAAATACAAACTGAAAATACGCCGGTATCTCCAAAACCACGTACATCTGACTTATGAAGTTATGGTTAGAAGATTTTTCCTTCTGGGATTTTCAATTAATTATTGAATTTATATATCCACTTGACCACCTTGAACGACCGATCTCATTTTGTGATTTTCACAGAACTATTGTCACTTTTATGAGTTTCGATTCATTTTTGTATTCATAACCCCACTTGACCCCTTTCGACGGGCGGTCTCACATTGTGATTCTCAAAGATCATTATTATGATTG